TGATTTTCATTCTCTCACCCCAGAAAACGCGGTTCTCCCCTTGTCTCCATTTTGGACTGTCTCCCTTTTTGATATTCCTAGATTCTGCATAACAATGAGGACTCCAGAAATTTCTGTGATATTCCAGGGTTCTCCTGAAGAGAGAGTACTCAGAGTACACCTCTGAATAAGGGAGCAGGTGACTGGTTGTTGCCTGTAGAATTCCTTGAGAAGAAGGATGGGTTACACGAGAAATTGACACATTGTAACTGACTGTACTTCAATTTTTTAAAATTCAAAAAAAAAAGGAAAGATAAGGCATGCTTTGTTTTTGTTTTAACAGAGTGAAATTTAAATCTCCATGCCCTTCACCATTAAGGAAAAATTTAACTAGGAAAAATCCTACCTAAATTTCTAATTTTCTAATCTAAATGTCTAGGGGAAGAGCTGTCCCACCTCGGGGAGCTCATGTGTGCTGCTGCCTGGATGGACAGCAGGGGGCGCCCTGGCAGTACAAAGGGCCGGATCCTGGTTGACTACTGAGTCAGGCCCGTTTATCAGCTTCTGAGTTGGTAACCTTTGTGTTAATGAACTCTTCCCATGTCTCTCACGCATCCTTTCTTTAGTAGGTAGTGATTTACGGCCCTGGCCTATGACACCAAACTTCACGTATCTTTAGTAGCTTTCAAGACAGTTCACTTTCTCACTGATACAAACCCTCTGCAGGTCTGCTGATGAAATAAATTTTAAAAACGTTATTGGCATCATTAAGCAAGTATATGTACATATTGAGAAGTACTTCTGGCATATCACCTAAAAGTTACATTTTAAGCTACACCTCAGTATTTTTCCTTAAAAATTGTATCCCTATCCGACGCACTTGTTCAGTGATTTTTCTCCCTGTGAGACAGTGATTTGCACGTGCTCCAGCTGAACTTTGAGGGATAGAGTGGCTGTGTCACCTGAGAGTGTCACCTCGATCACAAATGGATACAACGAACATTGCCATCTCATTGCATTCTTTGTAAATGCACCAATTACTTCCCTTTGGAATCCTTTCTACTTAGGTTGAGGGAAAAGCCTCATCTGTCTTTGCTAAAAAGTCTTGTTCCAATCAGACCTTCTTCCTGCTGGAATTCCTGTCTTTCCCGTTCACGTGTCTCTTACCATTTGTCCCCTGAAAGGTTCCCCACTCTGCTTCTCCATCAAGGCATGGGAAAGCCTGTCACTGGTTCCCAGCCACACCTGAGACAGGTACCCCCCCCACCAATCACAGATCAGTAGGAATGATTTCTCTTGTGTCTTTCTTACAAAGGTTAGCACCCTTTGAGTTATTGTTCAGTAAAACCACACCCTAAGCAAGGCCCCCCGAAGGCCAGACAGCCCCCACCTCCCCCAGCCTGGAGGAAGACTGCCGTCCTGGGGGCCGCTTGCTGGCCAGCGGGACAGCCCGTTCTCCCCTCCTCTGTGGGAGGTGGTGCATATGCCATTGGTCCTCCGTATCTCAGGCTCCACATCCATGGATTCAACCAATCACAGTTAAATATATATTTTTTTAATTTCAGAAAACTCCAAAAAAGCAAAACGTGAATTTGCCACACCAACTATTTACATAGCGTTTACATTGTATTAGGTATTCTGAGTCATCTAGAGATGATTTAAAGTGCATGGAAGGGTGTGCATAGATTATATGCAAATATGCCATTTTATATGAGGGACTTGAGCATCTGCAGGTTTTGGTGTCCATGGGGGGTCCTGGGAGTAAATCCCTTGTGGATACCAAGGGGTGACTGTATCCTGTCTCTTCAGTTACCCCCACTGCCCCAGAAGCCCTCAGATCTCACCATTTCATTTGTTCAGGCACATTCTCATGGCCCTCTACACTCTCACACCGTCTACACACATCATGGACAGGTATTCATTGTTCTGTGCGGAACGGCAGCTTGACGGCTGCTGCAGTCCTGAGAAACAGTGAAATCTTGTTTCCATTGGCAGTTGTCCTGCTTGGTCTCAGTCCCTGCCAAGTGCACATGTGTGTGTCACATGTGTGAGTGTAAATTCTGTACAGTGTGAAATCTCTCCTGGGACTGATGGCAATCCCTCAGGGTCCTGGGGACTCCTGGAAGTGACCCTGAGATGCTCAGTAGCTCTTTGTTTGCTCTGCAGGCCTGGCATCACCCACTGCCATCACCCCAGTGACGTCCCCCATTGGCAGTAAAACAAGGGGCACCACTCCAGTGTCCAAACCCCTGGAAGGTAAGTCACTGGGTGCCAGATGTGCCGAGGGGTCTGCGATCAGAAGAGCCAGCAATGCTTCTCGCTCACCGATGTTTTCTGCTTGCCTAGACATCGAAGCCAGACCAGACATGCAGTTAGAATCAGACCTCAAGTTGGACAGGCTGGAAACCTTTCTAAGAAGGCTGAATAACAAAGGTACACCCCGGAGGCCAGAGGGAAGCTTTGGGTTATGTGCTTGTAGCCGCTGTGATTTGTATTTCAACTGGTAGCTAAGGAAGCCTAAAAAAGATTCCAGCCCTGCTCTCAGAATCACTGAATCCCAACTCGATTTCATTTCCTCCTCAGCTAAAGTGTCTCTGGTAAGACTTCACCAGTTCGTACTGTAAGCATTTTCTTTGTTATCTTTTTGCAAATGAAGTTATTGGTCAAAACTGATTGGATCACCAAGCTCCGATTCACTTAGTGATGTCCTCACTAGGGGGCCCCCAATTACACATTTGTTCCTGAGTCTAAACCCTTGGGATGTCATCCCGTCAGGATGGTGTTTTCTCGGTAATTTTGCTTTTAATCCTGAAAACAGATTATTGTACAAAATTAACATGATCTTGGGCCTGAGGAACTTTCAGTTATACACGTCAATTTCCAGTCGGATTAGCAGCTGATACTGTATCTTATACTCACAAATGATTTTTGCAAAGAAAATCCTAGTGAATAAGTAAATATTTCAGTTCAAAAGTCCATGAAGTGTATAAAAGCATAGCATGCAGACATGGCCTCATCTCCTGATAAAAATGTCCAGTACTTGAAACCTATCAAACACTAAGCACTGGAGTCCCTACTGTTGACAGCGACCTCTAATAGGTTGAGAATAATACAAGCAGCCACTTTAAATCAAAAATATGAAAGTGTAATGGAATGAAACCGGCAAGGCAAAGAATGCAGACAATTCAGAGTTTAGCACCTGTATGTAATGGTGACCTAGCCCAGGGGTGTGGCACACTCATCCAGCTCTCCTCCTCTTTTTGTAAATAGTTTTATTGGAACACAGTTGTGTTCATTTGTTAGCATATTGTTAACAGTTGCTTTTATGCTATAGCAGCAGAGTCCTGCAGGGGCAACACACGTCAAATGGCCTCCCACGTGAAGCCTAAAAGATTTTCTATCGGGTCTTTTTCTGCAAAGAAAAAGTTTGCACCAACCCCTGATCTAGACTGAGGCCAAGGCTAACTCTGCCTCCAGGAAGAAAAAGAGCAAGTTCAGAAACTCTCTGGTGGGATTAAGCCTCCCTGTCTCCTAGCATTTCATGGTATAGGCTTTGTCGGATGGGATGTTCTTCCATGAGAAGCCAGGTGGTGCCCAGGTGGTGCCCTGGAGGCGTCCAGAGAACCCTGGACATCACTGTCCTGTTTGTCCACTCCTGGACCTTGGAGGCTAGAAAATCCATGGAGCAGAGTTAGAGTAATACTTTTACACAGATCTCAGGTCATTGATTGGTTTCTTTTTTTTTAATTTTTTGAGGGGGAAGTAATTAGATCTATTTATTTACTTTAATGGAGGTACTGGGGATTGAACTTGGGACCCCATGCATGCCAGGCACGGGCTCTACCACTGAGCTATACCCTCCCCGCCTTGACTTGTTTCTTTGTTGACAGTTGGGGGGATGCAGGAGACTGTCCTCACCGTCACCGGCAAGTCTGTTAAAGAGGTGATGAAGCCAGACGATGATGAAACCTTTGCCAAATTTTACCGCAGCGTGGATTCCACTGTGCCGAGAAGCCCCGTGGAACTCGACGAGGACTTCGATGTTATTTTTGATCCTTATGCCCCCAAGTGAGTTATTTCAGTTTCCCTCTCTCACCCACAGGTAACAGATTCCTTCACCAGCCTCCTTCCACACAGAGCTTTCTCCAGAATCTTCTCTCGCTGTTACCTCCTGGCGCACCCCCTCCACCCACGATAGGTCTTCATGACAGCCTAATTCTTCCTTTCTAGAGCCAGATTCTTGGTGCCTGGGGGTGGGGGCTTTGCAAAGATGAAGCCTGTGTGCCCAGAGCAGACATCCCCTCTAGGAAAAAGTCTTGCATCCACAGTGCGTGCGTGGCCCATAAAAATAACGTGACTGGATTTTTCACATGACTCAAATATCATGTTGCAGACTTTGCGATGAACCCTGTTTAGCAGAGATTTCCACACTTGTCTTTCATTTGGCATGTTGAAGTCTTACTCATAACTTTGAAAAATATTTAGATCACCTGGTGCTCAAATGAATAGCGCTAACTAGAAAATCAGTAAAAAACATGTTACTTAACTTGTTGAAAATTTATCTAATCAATAGGGCTGAGGGTTTTCTCAAGGATGTCCCAGGGCTTCTCTTCATGCAGAAGCATATCTAGCCACCTAAGGAAAGTGTTCGTTGTATTAGGGTCCCTTTGGTTGTGAGGGAGGTTAGTCACACTGACTTCACACTGACTGTGTATGTGGAGGGATTTACCGGTTCACTCACTGAAAAGCACAGATGTGAACTCAGGGTCTAGGGGCTCAGAATGAGGTCTGTCTCCCACCTGACTTCTGGGGGGCTGGCTGCACCCTTGGTCAGGCTGTCTCCCCGTGCTAGAAGATGCGGCCCCTCGCTGGAGGTTTATAGCACATCTGCTTGGCCGCCCCAGCGCAGGCAGCCTCCCTGCCCAGCAGTCCCGGCTGAAACCAGGCTTGGCTTTCGTGGGTCTGCGTCCAGCCCTAAAGCCATCATTGTGGCCAAGAGGATGGAAGATGCTAATTGGCCAGAGCTGGTCTCTAGACCCACCCCCCTGCCCCAGCCAGAGTAGGGGACAGGACATGGAGTGAGGTGGTTCCCCCCAAAAAAGTCAAGATGCTCTTACCAGAAGCAGGGAGAATGTGCCGGGTGGGCTAAACCCACAGCCGCCCACCACATTTATCAATCCCCCAAATTTATCAGAGCGCCAATCTCTTGCAGATGCCCAGGTCATCATAAATGTTTCCTTAAGCCCCTCTTGATACATGTTTTGCATTTTCAATTTGTTCAGTACTTTTTTTTTTCAATTTGCTGCCTTAAGAAAATGAACAGTTGGCCATTACCCCCCCATGGTTAAGTAATATTTGGGGTATTTGCATACATGGTTATTTAACCATTTCTCAATCTTCTTCTCACCCAAATATTTTTGTCTAAATGGTTACAGATAACTTAAACATTGATATGTATGTTTACACACACATGCACGCGCGCGCACACACACACACCAGTGTCACCTGTTGAGAGGACCTTTAGGCACAGAGACCCCTGCAGGTGGACATTGAGAACAGCAGCCAAAATCTGTTGGGAAATCATGGGGCTGGGTCCACCCACCTCCCCCGTGTCTGGTCTTCTGCCCCAGAGGGCTGTGTGAGTGTGTGATGGTCCTGGTTGGTTCTGTGGGCCTCTTCTGTTTCAATATGTCCTTAAAAATAGTCTTCCAAAAATAGGTTATTTTTGGAGGAGAGCAGTAGGAGAGGAGGTCAGTGATGGGGGAGCTGAGGAGGACCTGCAGAACTGTTACATGAAGAGAAAGTGTAGACTGGAGGGAGGAGGGTTACACCGAGAAGCGGGGGCCGGCTCTATGTGCTCCGAGGGCTTGCTGGAGCCCGAGGAGGTAGACTGTGCTCCACTCCAGCAGCAGAACCAGTGACCAGGATGGTGTAGGGGGTTCTGTCCCGTAGGGGAATGAGCTGCCCCACCAGGAACATCAGAGGGAGACCACAGGGTGCAGCAAGAGTGGGGGCTCCTGGGATCGGCTGGCACTCCGTGGACCAGACTCTCCCATCTCCAAGATCCCATGACTCCGTGTCATTGGAGTGGTGGGTGGAGGAGGATTTGTAAGATTTATAACAAAACCAGGAAGTAAAATCGTGGAGCCCGTTGCTTCCGGTCAGAGACCTGCAAGCCACACACAGCTCTGCTCTGCATCTCAGGTTGACATCCTCTGTGGCCGAGCACAAGCGTGCGGTGAGACCCAAGCGCCGGGTTCAGGCTTCCAAAAACCCCCTGAAGATGCTGGCCGCCAGAGAAGACCTCTTGCAGGAATACACTGAGCAGAGACTAAACGTGGCCTTCATGGAGTCAAAGCGGATGAAAGTAGAAAAGAGTGAGTATTGGGAACCACCTCCTCGCTTGGGGCCGGGGGCCTGGTGATTCGGGTATTCCATCATCTCTCCTTCTGCCTTGCAAAGGCCCGTAACAGTGCTCAGGGACACTTGTTAAATAAAAATGAGTCCGTTTGCACACATGCGTGCAGACCTGCAGAAAACCTACCTGGAATTCAAAGGCTTCTCCCAGAAATTCTTATAGCATGGCACATTTGTTCATATGGTAAAGTCAGATTATCCGGTTTGAGTTTTCTTTCAAGAGGTTGGAGGAAAAGGGCGGTTGCTGGGTTTTGTAAGTCCACCCATTTCTAAATATGACAATTCTCCATTTCATCTTATTCAAGAGCAAAGCATTGGATCTCTCAGGAGAAAGGGTCCCAGATCACTGCTTTGCCTAACCCTAGATTTTTATATTATTAATTGATGCACAAATCAGTGCTTTTCAAATGGTTGCTGACGAACCCCTCAGGCTCCGTGGAGTTGCGATGTGGGCTGGGGGGGTGGGGGGAGTTGGGATGGGGCTCGAGGCTCTCAGCCCCACTTCAGGCTGAGCCCCCTGCTTTTATCTGCCCAATCACGTGGGACCCATGGTTCGGAAACTGGTTTTCTCGGTGGAGATAACATCACGCATAATCTTGCTCTTCTGAATATTCTTGCTATAATTTTTATCTTCTGATAGCACTCATAAACCTACTTTCCAAAGTTTCTTTTTCTTAAGAAATAGAGTATTTAGATGAAGTGGTTGAGTCTTTTCATTATAACTGGTTTACTAAATAAATGTGTTTCGAAGTTTCTATGCCATGAGAATTGTCAAGTCATCTTACGTTTCTTCAGCGTGAGAACCTCCTCCCTGCAAAATAATTTTCTGAATTTCTCTCCAGCATGTACATTTTTTTAAACAGTGAACTGGAGAAATACAGGTTTATTGGCACAAATTGTAGGTGCTTTAACCCTACCTCCCCTTTTCTGGGACACATACATGTGTTTTGGTCCACACTGAAAACCCTGTATCTTATTACAGTCTTAAGGCTGAGAGCAAAGGATCTTGGGAGGTCATTTAGTTGTTCACTTTGCCTCTAGGAAAAGATCAGAACTAAACTATGCCTTACAGAGTGCCTGCTTTTCTGCATATAAAGACTTTTGATGGGAGACATCTAACAGTCTCTCTTAGCAGTGTATTTTCCACATCTGAACATTGTTAGGAATTAGAGCAGCTTTCAGAGGAATTGCAGTGAGTGGGTCCAGCTCCTGAGTTAATACTGATGTCGCTGTTCCACGTTGTCACTCAGTTCTAACCTCTCTGTGTGACCACTTGCTAGCATGCGTGGATACGTTCAATCCTGGGTTTCATTCCTAACTCGGGGCTTAACTGCACAGTTAAACTGGCGTAGGTTTTCCCCCTCCACGTTAACTTGAAAAAAAAGTAGTGAGTCGATGATGAATGAGTTCTGAGTGCAGACACTGTCATTTCACTGGCTCACGCTATGTTTCCCCTTTTGGCCCTCCCAGTGTCTTCCAACTCCAGCTTCTCAGAGGTCACTCTGGCGGGTTTGGCCAGCAAAGAAAACTTCAGCAACGTCAACCTGCGGAGTGTCAACCTGACCGAACAGAATTCCAACAACAGCGCAGTGCCCCACAAGAAGCTGATGCTGCTCCAGGTTAAAGGTACATGAGAGCAGAGAGAATTCCACGCCCATGGCGGGTTTCACCTGCTCTGGTCAGGAGTCCTGACTTCCCGTCCTTGCCTGAGAAAAGAAGGGAACGCACGCTTTTTGAGAGCCTCCCATGTGCGACCTTATCTCCCAAAAGCTTCACGAAATCCCATGAGGTGGGAAACATCGTGCCCGAGTTTTAGAGAGGCTGGCAGTGTACGCGAGGTCCTAGCGCGGGGAGCGGCAGAGCTGGCTTTGAACCCGGGTCCCTCCCAGTCCAGAATCTCAGCTTTTGCTGCTGTTCCCAGTCCCGTGACCCCTGCCGCAACACTGCTCTTTAGTCACCAGATGCCCCCTCAGCCATCAGAGTGTCCCCCCTGCTCTGTCCTCCTCCTTCCTGGGGTCAGCAGGGTCAGGTCATCCCGAGGGAGGGATGGGCATCTCGGAGAAGGAAGCAAGGGGAATGCAGAGGCACAGGAAGCAGGCCCAAGCTCCCCTCCGAGCCCCCTCCTTTCTACCGATAGCCAGGAGCCCTGATCCCCAAGCCGAGATGCTCTGGGCTCTGCGGATGGAAACTGGGCTGTGCCACTGGGAGGCAGCTATCAGTTCATCCTCAAGAGGAGGATGGAGGACCTTAATTAACCTGTACACGTGCGGTACAAGGACACCGATAGTGGCCCTAAGAAACATGGTGCCATTTGGGAACGTGTGGCCAAGGGAAAGTAATCAGTGATGCTGTCGGTCCAAGTCCCCTCCGTGCCGCTCTGGGCCACCAGGACTAATGCGAGTGGACGAGACCCTTCAGAGCGCAGAGCGTCTGGAGCAGGGCTGCTTCGGAGGTGGGGCTCCCTGGTCCTGCCTGTGACCCCGGGACGGTTCTCTTCCCTGGGAAGTCGCTGACTCTTCGCCTTGTGTTCAGGAAGAAGACACGTGCAGACAAGGCTGGTTGAGCCCCGAGCTTCGTCCCTCAACAGCGGGGACTGCTTCCTCCTGATCTCCCCCCATCACTGCTTCCTGTGGGTCGGGGAGTTTGCAAACGTCATAGAGAAGGCGAAGGTGGGTCTCGGAGAAATGACAGAAGCTTAGTTTCGCATCTCCTCTGCACAAGACAGAATGTCTTGCCAGTGGCCAGATTCCCTAGAAAGCTTCTCAAATACCCAGTGTTTCATTCAAGCGGGAGGGAACGGGCCGTCATGAATGTCTCTGAAACACGCTTTAATTAAGTGCTTACATGGGATGCTTTAAAAGGAGTGTGACCTCTTCCTTCAGGTTCTAAGTCCTGCTTCATCTTTTCTCCAAAGGACATAAGGAGCTGGCACATCAGTTCAGAGTAGTTTATCCCGGGTGCCTATGAGATTCTGCTGCGGACCTACTGAATGAGGCTTGAATGAGAAAAGATCAGGGAATGGGTGTTTTTTAAAAGCATCATGAATGGACTGTTGACTTTGAGGACTGAGAACTGCTGCTGTGAAGAGTTGACGTCTGGGTCCTCTAGTTACATTTACTTGGCTTTGCAGACAATCCCCAGCAACCAGCGGCCCCGGCCTCTGTGGTCACAAGGTTTCCCTTTCAGACACACAGTTTCTCCTCTCCGATTTCAGCAAGGCCCCTCCACCCGGCTGTGGGCCCATCTGCCCAGGGAGCCATGTTCCTCTCTTTTTTTTTTTCAGGCCTCAGAACTTGCGACTTTAATTCAGACCAAGAGGGAACTTGGGTGTAGAGCTACTTACATCCAAACTATCGAAGAAGGAATCAATACACACACTCATGCGGCCAAAGACTTCTGGAAGCTTCTGGGTGGCCAAACCAGTTACCAGTGTAAGAGTTTCCTGCATCTCAGAGACTCACACTCAGCTGCCTTTCCCCTCCCCTCCTTCGTTCCTCCAAGCCAGCCCGTCTCCAGTGGAAAACGTCTTACTCTCTCCCTGTTCTTCTCCCAAAGCCGCTGGAGACCCCAAAGAAGATGAGCAGTACGAGACGGCCATCATAGAAACCAACTGCACTTACCGTCTGATGGACGACAAACTCGTCCCTGACGACGACTACTGGGGCAAGATTCCCAAGTGCTCCCTCCTGCAGTCCCGAGAGGTACCGCGGTGGGGGGGTGGGCAGCTCAGCGGTAGAGCGCGTGCCCAGCACACACAAGGTCTGGGTTCACTCCCCGGGACTTCCAGCAAATAACTACACTTAATTACCTCCCCCCAAAACAAAGACCAAAAAAAAAGAAAAGTAAATCTTAACAAAAGGCCAAAGAGGGTCAGTGAGTGGTCTGCCCTCCAACAAGAAAGCACTTCGCCCCAGGCCGCCCAGAAGAGCAGGCGGTGAGGGTCCGGCCGACGCTCCCCAGGGCTAGCGCCCATCGTGGGACAGGGACACCTTTTTCAAGGCTACGGATTTGTGATTTCAAACCATCACCGCATCGTCAGTACTAATACAGAATTCCGAATGTTGCTCCCAGGAGGCCTGGAGCGCTGAGGGTGCTTCTGTTTTAGGCCCAGTGTAAATAGGACTTAGCCCTCACTCTTGATTCTTGTGTAGACATGAAATCTCTTCCAGTCCTTCAGCTTCAGGAAGAATGGGTGTGTGTATATAATTGGTTTGCCAGGCTGTGTGCTGGGTTTCTGCTCTCACATCAGTAAATATATAAACTTAGTAAGTATTACTTATTACTGATATATGTGTAAATAGACATATTTATATAGTTTTCTCTCACACCAATAGCTATATATTTAATATATATTATTTATTGTCTATTATTGATATATGTTTGTAAATGAATATATATTTCCAGTACCATTCTGAGTTTGAGGAAAAAAAAAGTATGGAAGATGCAAAAGGACTTTAAATTTCATTGGGTGGAAGAGTATTAGAAAGGATGTAATCCAAAGCTAGATCGATCGTGTGATATGCTTGGGTATTTAAATGGAGAAGACGTCACAGAAAAAGAAATAATCAGGAATGATTTTAAAGAGAAGGTGAAATTGAGCCTAGTTTGCAGTTAAGTAGAATTTGGATTGCTGGAAATGAAGAAAGAGGTTATTGTGGGAAGAAAGGAGAGAACAAGCCACAGGCATGGGAATAAGAAACAGTACTGCATTCATGTATTCACTCAACAAACACTCAGTGGCCCCTACTATAAATATAAATATGGCATGGTCTCTGCCCGTGAGGGTCTTGGAATTGGAGAGAGAAGGCGTCACTGGGTCCTTGAGGCCGTATGAAGTGGCCTTATAAGCTACGTGAATGAATGACAAAGGAGAGAGGGAGGGAGAGAGAAAAGAAGGAAAGAGGGAAGGGAGGGAGGGGAAGGAGGAAGATGTGCTTTAATAACTCTTACGAGTCTGAAGTCTGAGGTGGCTTGAGTTTTCAGAGGGGGTGACATTAACTTGGCCACTTAGGACAAGACAGAAATCACACCACAGGGCAGAGGCTGGCTTGGTGGGCAGTGCAGGGCGGCCAGACTTTTCTGTGTTGGTATTAAATGCTCCCTTAGGATTTGCGCCATCACCCACTGGACTCCCTGTCCCTAGGGACGCTGATTCTACTAGAGCCTGTCCTGGACGTTAACAAATGCTCCGGGGCTGTTTTCCCAGGTACTGGTGTTTGATTTTGGAAGCGAAGTTTACGTCTGGCATGGAAAAGAGGTCACACTCGCACAACGGAAGATAGCATTTCAGCTGGCAAAGCACTTGTGGAACGGAACCTTTGACTACGAGAACTGTGACATCAACCCACTGGATCCCGGAGAGTGCAACCCGCTCATCCCCAGGTACCGCGAGGCTCACGGCGGCCTCAGCTCCATCACCCTTCACAGGCATTTGTTTTCATAAATGATTGCAGTGCGGTACCGCGAATGTTCACGAAGGAACAGTGCTGTAGCTTCTACCTAACACACACAGAAATGCGGAGGGTGGAGCCCTGGGGAAGATGTCCGTGTCTGTTTCATTTCCCGAAATAAGCAGATTGTTGCCACCTGGACCATCCAGGGTGCTCTTGTGGCAGATGAACAGCAATCATTTAAATAAATGACAGGCTGATCTAAAAAGCTTCCCAAGCCCTGAAATTCAGCCATTGATCTAAAGGCGTAGAAGCAACGCATCTCTTCCTGATTTGACATACGCTTTCCCTGCACAGCCCTTCAGTTCTAGGATCTTCCATGCATTTGGCAGTTGGTGATGCTTATGGCTTTTTGGGGAGGGTGGGAGGGAAGAAATGGTATTGAAATCACGACTGTAGTTGTAACACTTCCTACAGTCTTCTGGACTTTTCCAAGTAATTTTGTTGAGGGGAGGATACGTTCTTGCCTCGCAGAGGAAAGAATTCAAGAGCAAGGCGTGGTACAGTGAAGGCAGGTTTATTTAGAGAGACACGTGTGCTGTAGACAGAGTGTGGTCTGTCTCTCAGAAGGGAAAATGGCTTAGGAGATGCGCACTCCGTAGGCAGGATGTGGGCCATCTCAGAAAGGTGAGAGGGAGTGAAGCCAAGAGGTATGGGGGGTTTAAAGTAAAAGTAGACACACACCCCACAGACAGAGTGCAGGCCCCCTCAGAAGGTGAGCGCGCAGAGCGAGAGCGACAGAGCGGGCGAGAGCCACCACGGGGTGCGGGGTTGTTAGGTGTTATGGGTAATCTCACCTGCTAATGGGTGGGAAGGCTATTCTGACTACTTTGGGGAAGGGGCAAGGATTTCCAGGAAATGCACCCCCTCCCCACTTTTTGACCTTTTATGGTCAGCCGGGGACTGTCATGGTGCCTGGGGCTGCACCGTGAGGCTCACGGTCACTGGAAGTCAAATCTTCTACCATCTTGGTTCTGCCCAGTCTGTCCTGTCCTCACGTGCTGTGTCACTCCTTCAGTGGTTGTGCCCTGCCCCCTTTCCTCCCACTTCAATTTTGGTAAATCAGCAGAATATGCACAAACTCTCAGAAACACGGTCATGAGAAAAAAAATTTCTTACATGCAATGGATTGTTGCTTTTTTTTCTTTATTACCAGAAAAAGAGAACTGCTTTGATTATGTGTGCCACATAGTAGGTTAGAAATTGATGTGCCACCAAGTGGCACATTCAAACTACTTTTTAATATTTTCCATTGAACTAGTATACAGATTTTGACTTTCCTACCTCATTTCCTGTTTGAAAAGTGATTTATTGATTTTCTTATTGTCATAGAAATTGTTAAAACTTATGTCAGTGTAGGTGAAGGGTTTTCAAATCATTTTGAAGCAAGTGCACATTTAACATAAAATTAATGCTGAAACAACTTCAGTTTTTAAGGACTGAAGCTAAAGCTCAAACGAATTTTTATGTGGCATAGTAAAAGAAAAAAATATAGAAGCATAAAATCTGTGTGATGGACAATTTCTATTTGGTCATGACATCATCCCAGCTCTGAAAGTAGGTGAGTGGGCACCTAACCCACTGGTTTTCAACACCTCCCAGATCAGAAGCTTTAACTGGAGGAGCCTTTAAAAAAAAAATCATTTGTGGGGTCCAGCCCTGGAGATGTGCTTTCAATTTGGGTAGGTGGGGCGCTTATGGGTTAGGACATCTTAAAAGCTCCCCAGGGATTCTAAGGTACAGCCAAGATAGAGCATCCAGCCCTTCTTAACAGACGAAGATGCTGAAACCACTGGGGTGTCGTGACTTATCCCAGCTTGGAGCTGTGAGTCAGGGCCAAGGGGAGAGGCACCAGCACCCTGGTGCAGCAGACCTGCCCTCGGTGCTCCCTGGACTTCACAGCACAGCGGTGCGTTTCTCAGCCGAGGCCAGGTGCTCTTTCTCCAGGCATCTTAGCAAGTCTGCAGAGTGGAATTTGTGAAAAGACAGACACAGCTATTTTCTGATAAGGACCACAGCCTTCAGGGTCGTCCTGAATTATCCATAGTGGCTGAGACTTGGTTCCTTACGTCCTGCGAGAGTACACAGTGGAGGTATTTGCATACAGGGCTTTATCCTTTCAGGCCCCTTTGAAACAGGCAGCCTCCTCAGTGGGCCTCAGCCATGATGTCAGAAACAGTGGTTGTGACCAAATAGCACATGACGAAGCAGGGGCCACTGCAGGGCCTAGGAAGCCCCGCCCATCAGTCTGTGCCTCCTGGCCCCAGTCCACGAGCCAAGGCTGATTTGGAGGATAAGAAACCCCTGTGGCTTATTCCCAGGGTTCACCCTCCTCCGTGTGGCTTTTCTCGGCTCCCCCTGTTTCTACCTGAGTTAGGTTCCAAGCTCAGTCTCAGAGTTTGAGATCCCAAGTCAGGACTGGACCTCCCGACGCTCTCCGTGCCTGGTGTCATGTCCAGTGACCTAGAGATAAATATGCACAAATCCACTTTTCCATCTATGAAAATATGTTCATCTGGGGAACGGAGGAGAATTTCCTCTGTTCCTGGAGACTGGAAAGCTCTGTTGTCACATGACTTAAAAAAACAGAGAATCCAGGGTGAGCTCACCTTCCTCCCATCTGTTCATGGACTTGACCGAGCGTGGGAGCACCTGCTGGTGACTGTGGGCGGGATGAGGACACGCAGGCAGCTCCTGCCTCTGCTGAGCTCCCAGCCTTGCGTGCTGCCCCCCGGGGACCCCGATGCAAGAATTTGCTAGAAGGCAAGGAAAGTCCAGTCCTGACGTGGCTCACGTCACACTCAGACACATCAACTCCAAGAACACGTTACCTTGCAGGGCCCAGGACTAACGTAATAAAATGTTACTTCTTGGGTAAAATAAGTGAGAACCATTCTTTCTGTAGACCACTTCCGCATTCTGAGTTTTCTTCAGTAGCCCCACCTGTTTGTTTTGGACGTCTTGTCTTAGCACGGCTAATCTTGGTTCTTTTCCTGTCCACCCACCCACCCTGCAGGAAAGGACAGGGGAGGCCTGACTGGGCAATATTTGGGAGACTTACAGAACACAATGAGACGATTTTGTTCAAGGAGAAATTTCTCGACTGGACGGAACTGAAGAGACCCAATGAGAAGAATGCCAGTGAACTTGCCCAGCAGAAGGTATTCGACATGATCCTGCCCCACAGCCCAGGGCTTGGCTCGGGGCCCTGCGAGGTGGTCTGGATGCTAAAAGCCTTCCCAGGGTTTACGGGTGGAACCTCAAACCGGTTTCCCTTCCTTTGCTGACATCAGGAGGTGAGAACAGCTGTGTAGGCGTCCCGTTGGCAGCTGTGGCTGTCTCTCCCCTAAATGCGGCCTTTCCCTTCGTGCAGTTAAAAGCCTGAAACAGCCTGAGAGCTGCACTTTCACGCTGTCCCATTAGCAGGGAGACAGCGTCGCATGTGACAAGAGGCGGCAGTGGCAGCTGAGCGAGCGTCTTTCCGTTCCCTCATAGGAGGACCCGAGGGTGGAGGTCAAGCCCTACGACGTGACGCGGATGGTGTCCATGCCCCAGACGACGGCCGGCACCGTGCTGGACGGGGTGAACGTCGGCCGGGGCTACGGCCTGGTGGAAGGGGCCGACAGGAGGCAGTTTGAGATCGCCAGCGTCTCGGTGGACGTCTGGCACATCCTGGAATTCGACTACAGCAGGCTTCCCAAGCAGAGCATCGGCCAGTTCCACGAGGGGGACGCCTACGTGGTCAAGTGGAAGTTCACCGTGCGCACCGCAGGTGAGAGCGTCTCCACCGCCCGCAGGCGGGGGGCGAGGCCGCAGAGGCCGGACCAGAGTGTGCCCCGTGTCCCACCCCAGAACCTCTCACTAAACCCGGCGGGTGAGTTCCTGACACCCCAGCGCGTCTGACACCCGTGACCTTCCTGTCCAGAAAGTCAACCTGCTGTGCTGCCCCCACCCCTCCCCTGCCCTGTCCTCAAGGGTCTTCTGGGAAAGTGATGATTTGCCTCCAAATGATATTTGCCACGTGGCTGGAGGCTGCAGAAGTGAGAGTCACTAACAACGCACATCTGGGCGATTTCAAGCTGAAACCAAACGGCATCATAACATCCCAGTAAATCCATGTACAAAAGACTGATTTGAAATGAAAGAAGTATTTCCTCTGAGGCTGAGAATTCTCACGGCGCTGTGTGGGTCTGGGAGAATAAATGCACCGTCAGAACTCAGTTTCCATCACCCCGTGCCCTGCAGAGCAAAGACAAACACTTGATGGTGCACTCGGTACCAGAGGCAGTGAGGCCGGAGAGGGGCGAGTTTAGGAGAAATGACCCCTTTTTCTTGCCAAGCAGCAGCCACGAGTCAAGTTAGCCCCCACGTCCCTCGTCCGTATGCATTTAGGAGTTTATATCACAACTGTGTGACTTCGAGCTTCAGTTGCCAAGGGGGTTTATTCACCTCTTTCCAGCCGAGCCCTTGCCGTCCAGGTGTGGCTGCCTTGCAGGCACAGGGC